TATATATATATATATATTACACAACATGGCTTGCACAACATGTATTGCACCACATAGGTTGCACAACATGTATTGCACCGCGTGTACTGCATAACTTTGATTGAACAACATTTTTTGCACCACCCAGATGGCTCCAAGTGTGTTATACAGCGTATGGCGTATTGCAACTATTGTGCCACAGAGACTGCACCACACATGTAGCACAATATATATTGCATCACATATATTGCACAGCATTGGTTGGATCATATGTATTGCACCACCCAGATTGCCCCATATATGCAGCACAACATACATCGCTAGGAACACACTGTTTGGTGCCCAGGACTGGAAACATTCGTGTTCCTTAGGGGGTGGCGCGACTTTTGTCTCATGGGGCCCTCTCGTCGGCCCTCTGGGAGCACTCTTGGGCCGTCTTGGGGGCCCCGTAGGCCGTTTTGAAGCAATCTCTATCTTGGATCATTGCGGGGTTATACTGGGCCGTTTCGACGCTCTCCTGGATTGTCTCGGCGCCCATTTGGCCGCCTTGGGGCTCTCTGGAAGCTCCGGAGAGTCCTCGGGACGTGCTGGGGAGCTCGTGCCCCCTCCCCCCTCCTCCCGCCCCCCCCCCCCTCCCCCCCCCCTCTTAACGCGATTTGGAGCTCCAGGGGAGGGGGACAGGGGGAGGGGGAGACGGCCAATCATCTCACATGCTTTCTTGCCCCCGGCAGGCGGGCGTTGGCGGACATTTTTCAGCCATGCGGACCATATCCGCCACAGGGACCGCAGGCTCGAGGGTCCTGGCCAGCCCTATCTGGGGGATTGGATGGTGCAGAAACGCTTGAAATTGAGCTTGTTGCGGTCTGAGGGCATCTCTCCCCTCTCCACGCAGGGTTATCTAGCCCAGATGTTCGTTCGCCTTTCATGAAGCTGCCGCACGGCATGCAGAACACACTTATTCCCTCGGAGTGGGTTGAGCCAGAACTTGTTCAGCTTTGGCATTCTCCATGGGACGGCCCAGCAGGCGGGCTCACGGTTGCGAGGACGCCACAGGGTGCGGAGGGGTTCGCGCGAGTGCGGCACACGCGCGCTCGGCAGTGCCAGGCCTCCGCGTGCCAAGACAAGTCGTGCAGGACAGGGTCGGAGGAGGGAGGAGGGAGGAAAGGGAGGAGGGGGAGGAGGGGGAGGAGGAGGAGGAGGAGGAGGAGGAGGAGGAGGAGGAGGAGGAGGAGGAGGAGGGGTCAGGAGGAGGGTTACACCCTCTGAGCACATTGGGGTTGCACTGCGACGATTCCCCACGCCCTGTGGATGAAGATGCCGTTGCACTTTCGCCTACGCTACCGCCTTGAGTTCGGTCGCGGCCGCACTCCCCAACTTGAGAGTAGACGTTGGCGGCCAAATTTTCACGAACTCTCGTGGTTTCGCTTTTTTTTCGGGATAGGGGGGTCCACTGGCAAGACAGGGCAAGTGCAACATACTTAGGTGAGATACTGCTCTAGAATCCTTCTGTCAGCTTGCTTTTCCACTGGGAGGGCTTGGGGTGAGAAGCAGCCACTGCTCCAGCAACGGCAAATGCATAACTTCTCTTCCGATTGCCAACCTACGCTCACGAGTAGCAAGGGGAAGCTCATCAACATTGGTTCGGCCTTCATTTTGCTTGTTTCCGAGGACACGCGGTGGGCCACCAGAAATTAGTTGCCTCGGTTATACAAGGCATAATCGGGCTCCGATTTGGTGCCAAGAAAGTTTTGATCATCCATATTCAACAAACTCACCCTGAGGACAGTTGGTTGCGATGGCGAGGCGGCTGACGTGCTAAGCTGATGCGAAAGACTGCTTGAGGTCGATCCCCACCAGGCGGCCGCCATATTCCGTTCGGAGTTCTTTTTTGGCCCCCCCCCCATCCAGCTCTGCCATACCGCCGAGGCCCGCGCGCAAGACACGACCCTTCCACAACAAGCTCTCCCGTCAGTATTTTTTCGGGGATCCAAGGACTGGTAGACCAGAACTCAGGAGACTCTGGGCGCAGGCCAGGGGGCCAAGGAGAGAGGAGGAGAAGGAGGAGGAGGAGGAGGGAAGGAGGAGGATGAGGAGGAGGAGGAGGCGGAGGAGGAGATGGAGACCGAGAACGGGGTGTGATGCAGGGATGCGGGGTAGAGTTGGGCAAGAGGAGGAACGGGAGGAGGGAGCAGTGGGCAGGGGGACCCCCATGCGTAGAATCTCAAACATGGATTGAGTCGCGTGGATTCGCGACGTGTCCTGCCTCGAAGTCGACGCGCTCCGCCGCCACATCGGGCGGCACCGGCCTTACGCTTCGGGGGTTGCCTTCCCAGACCAGTGGGTCTGGCGCCCACCCGCCAGAGCCGCGGATCCCCGATTCATGCTGGCGAGCGCCCGAAAGAGGGGAGCGAGATGAGGGAGGAGTGGGGATGATGCCATCACAACCCATTGGCACTCTCCAGCCAGGACCCCCACTCTCGACCTGGTGATCCAGGGGGTCTTGGCCAGCAGCCGGGGTGTTCTTGTTTCACGGAGCGCGTTCCACTGCTCGCAAGGTGCCTATTCGCAGACGTCCGACAAAACACATGCCTTCATCACTGTAATGCATCGTAAATCTTTCATGGCGGATCCAGGCCATTTTGCGAGTAGTTATGCGTAAGGGCTTCGCCCCCATGCCGCCAGCCCCCCTCCCTTAGAATGTGACTTGTCAGAGCTGTGTTGGGATGTCGGGACGCTGACGTGAAGCAATGTCGGATCTTCACGCGAGGGCCAATATTTATTTTCGAGGGTTTATAGTGGCGCGAATATTAGTTAGGTAATTTACGGTAGTGTACAGCTTCGGGGACGCGAATATTGTATACTTTACGTTGGTTTGTGGCCTCGGGGGCGCAACTATTGAATAATTTACGGGGGTTTGCGGCCTCGGGGGCGCAAATGTTATGTAATTTAAAAGGGTTTATGTCCTTGGGACGCGAATGCTGAGTAATTTGTGAAGGTTTGTGGCCTGGGGCACGCAAGTATGGTGTAATGTATAAGGGTTTATGTTTTCGGGGGCGCGAATATTGTATAATGTTCGATGGTTTATGGCTTCGGGGACGCGATTATTCTGTAATTACGAGGGTTTGTGCCCTCGGGGATGCACATGTAGAGTAATTTATTAGGGATTATGGTCTCGGGGACGCGAGGATTGAGGAATTCTCAGAAAGGTTTATGGCCTCGGGGACCTCAATCTGGTATGATGTAATTCTTCACGCTTCGCGTATCCCCACCAGCCCATCTCAAAACAGCAATTCTTGCGAAGCATGCCGACAGTCGTGTTTTTCAGGCGTGTTTCCGCCTGCCCCCGCATATCTCCGGGCCTCTCGTCCTGGTGTGAGTCGTTCGGGCCCTTCTTCCTGGTGTGAGTCGTTCGGGCTCTTCGTCGTGGTTTGAGTCGTTCGGGCTCTTCGTCCTGGCGTGAGTCGTTCGGGCTTCTCGTGGTGTGAGTTGTTCGGGCCCTTCGTCCTGGTGTGAGTCGTTCGGGCTCCTCCTCCTGGTGTGAGTCGTTCGGGCTCCTCGTGGTGTGAGTCGTTCGGGGCCCTCGTCCTGGTGTGAGTCGTTCGGGCTCCTCGTGGTGTGAGTCGTTCGGGCGCCTCGTCCTGGTGTGAGTCGTTCGGGCCCCTCCTTGTGGTGTGAGTCGTTCGGGCTCTTCGTGGTGTGAGTCGTTCGGGCCCCTCGTCCTGGTGTGAGTCGTTCGGGCTCCTCGTGGGGCCTCTTGGGGGCCTCTTGGAGCCTCTTGGGGGCCTCTTGGGGGCCTCTTGGGGGCCTCTTGGGGGCCTCTTGGGGGCCTCTTGGGGGCCTCTTGGGGGCTCTCTTGGGGGCCTCTTGGGGGCCTCTTGGGGGCCTCTTGGGGCCTCTTGGGGGCCTCTGGGGGGCCTCTTGGAGGCCTCTTGGGAGCCTCCTGGGGGCCTCTTGGGGCCATCTTGGGGCCTCTTGCGACCTCCTCAGAAGCGCAAATGAGAGCTGCCCCCCGAGAAGGACAAAATGAGCCCAAAACCTTCGTAAAATCAGCGATTTTGCTATGAAGGACGATGAGCGCTGCCCCCTCAGAAGCCCAAAATGGCCCCAAAATCCTAGTAAAATCAATGTTTTTGGCTTCACAGAAGAGGAGAGGGGCCTATCTCCGCCCCCCCGTCGGGGCCAGAATCCTCGTGAGGGTCGTCGTTTTTTAGCCCTCCCAGGAGTCGGAAAAGACCCCTCCAACGACCCGCGGAACACTCTCTCCAGGTCCAGGGGTAGGGGGTAGGGGGAGGGGTAAACCCCTCCCCGAATGGGAAGAAGGGGGGTTGAGAACAGAGCGGGCTCTCTAAACCACTCACGCCCAAAGGGCTGGTGGGATTTACCAAGGATTATGACCTCGGGGATGCGAATATCATGTATTTTTTCATGTCCCAGGCCCCCCCACGAATATTGAGAACCTTCCCAGGGCGTGTTGAAAAAAGTCCTGTTTGGGACTCCCACCCCTCGGGCGGACAGCAACAATTAATGGTAAGGAAGCAGAAAGCAGGACTGTAACAGTGGAAACTGGAAACTGCAACGGGAACAGGGAGCTGCAATCCACATCCTCGCAGCCTGTTGGCCCCGCAAGGGGGTTGGCGGACTTTGTGAGTAGTGGAACGTGCTCGTCTGTTGTTGGGTCCTTAGAGGCCAGCAGGTCCCTTCCACCTCCGGCCGGGACCCCCTGGAATCACCGGGTCGGGAGTGGGGGTCCTGGCTGGGGGTGGGGGTGGGCCGCGCTGTCCTCACTGCAGGGGGCAAATTCCAAAAGCCTGGCACCGTACGTGCAGTGCCAGGCTTGGCGGCCCGTCTTCCCGTCCCACCATCACAGGGGGGCGGCGAAGTCCCTGCAGACGGGACGGGCTGGGCACGAGCGGGCATCACGGCAGGCTCAACACCAAAAGAGGCATCCTTAGCCTCGTCGTTCCCCTCACCACTGGCTTCCTTCCGTGCGCAGCGTGCCCTCCCCATGGCGGGGCGCAGAGGTGATCTTCGACGTGTCCGTCCCCATCCCGAACCCCAACGAGGAGGGGCGGGGCCGCGCCGCGCCTCGCCGCGCAGCGGGCGGGCAGGCCCCCCAGTCCCGAGACGGGGAGAGGCCCGTCCGGAGGATGCGGCACGATCGGGGATGCTGATGATGCTGTTGATGATGATGCAGATGATGCAGATGATGATGAGGAAGATGATGCTGATGATGATGACGATGATGACGATGCTGCTGATTATGATGATGATGCTGATGGTGATGATGATGCTGATGATGATGCTGATGGTGATGATGATGCTGATGATACTGATGATGATGGTGGTGATGCTGCTGATGATTATGATGATGCAGCTGATGCTGCTGATGATGCTGATGCTGATGATGCTGCTGATGATGATGATGATGATGATACTGCTGATGATGACGATGCTGCTGATGATGATGCTTCTGATGATGACGATGATGGTTGTGATGATTTAGATTGTGATGATGATTATGATGATGCTGATGCTGATGCTGTTGCTGATACTGATGATGATGCCGATGCTGAGGCTGTTGATGATGATGCCGATGACGATTGCGATGCTGCTGCTGATGGTGACGATGACGGTAATGATGATGATGCTGATGATGATGATGCTGATGATTATGACGATGTCGATGACGATGAACATAATGATGATGCTGATGATGATGATGTTGATGCTGATGCTGATGCTGATGCTATTGTTGATGATGATACTCACGCTGATGATGCTGATTATGCTGATGGTGATGACGACAATGATGATGATGACGATTATGATGATGCCGATGACATTGATGATGATGATGATGATGATGATGATGATGATGATGATGATGATGATGATGATGCGCATGCTAATGATGATGATGATGACGATGCCGATACTGATGATGATGATGATGATGCTGATGCGCATGCTAATGATGATGATGACTATGCCGATACTGATGATGATGCTGATGCAGGTGATGATGCTGATGCTGTTGCTGATCTGTTGCTGTTGCTGATGATGCTGATTATGACGCTGCTGATGATTATGATGATGACGGTGCTGCTGATGTTGATGTTGTTGTTGTTGATGATGATGATGATGATGGCGATGATGATGCTCATGATGATGATGATGATGATGATGATGATGATGATGATGATGATGCTGATGATGTTGATGAGGATGCTGATGATGATGATGATGATGATGATGATGACGGTGATGATGATGGTGATGCTGATGACGATGGTGCTGATTACGATGAGGTTGCTGATGATGCTGCTGCTGATGATTGTTGGGGTGGTGATGATGCTGGTGTTGGTGATACTGCTGATGTTGATGACGATGCTGTTGATGCTGATGATGATGACGATGCTGCTGCTGCTGCTGCTGCTGATGATGATGATGATGATGGTGCGGATGCTGCTCATGCCGATCATGCTGATGATGCAGATGATGCTGATGAGGGTACTCGTGATTGTGCTGGTGATGGTGCTTGTGACGGTGACGGTTATACTGGTTAGGCTGTTGCTGATGATGATGCCTCTGCTGCTGATGATGACGACGATGCTGATGATGATGACGATGATGATGATGTTGCTGATAGTGATGATGATGATGATGATGATGATGATGATGATGATGATGATGCTGATGATGATGATGATGATGATGATGATGATGATGCTGGCGATACGGCTGCTGATGATGTTGCGGCCGATGATGATGCTCATGATGATGCTGACTATGAAGATGCTGATACTGCTGATGATGCTGCTGATGATGACGATACTGATGACGCTGATGCTGCTGATGATGATGCTGATGATGATGGTGATGATGATGATGCTGATCCTGATGAGGATGGTGCTGTTGCTGACGATGATGATGCTGATGTCCTGCTGCCGATGACGGCGACGACGATGAGGATGCTGCTGATGCTGCTGCTGTTAATGATGGTGACGATGATGATGCTGCTTCTGCTGCTGCTGATGATGCTGCTGGTGGTGGTGGTGGTGATGCTGACTATGCTGCTGATGATGCTGCTGCTGATTAGGCTGCTGCTGATGATGAAGCTGATGATTACAACCATGATGATGCTGATGATGCTGATGATGATGCTGATGAGGCTGATGATGATGATGCTGCTGCTGCTGATGATGATGATGATGATGATGATGATGATGACGTTGTGGGGGTGGTGGCGTCGGCGGCGGCGACGAGGAGGTGGTGGAGGGGGAGGATGATGATGATGATGAAGATGAGGATGGGGATGATGATGCTGATGATGATGAGGATGATGATGATGATGATGATGATGATGATGATGATGATGATGGCGACGACGACGACGATAATGATGCTGATGATGATAATGATGCTGCTGATGATGCTGCTGATGATGATGACGACGATGATGCTGATGATGATGATGAGGAGGAGGAGGCGGAGGCGTAGGAGGAGGAAGAGGAGGAGGAGGAGGAAGGAGGAAGGAGGAAGGAGGAAGGAGGAAGGAGGAGGGATGATGATGCTGCTGATGCTGATGCTGATGCTGATGCTGATGCTGATGCTGATGCTGATGCTGCTGATGACGCTGATGATGCTGCTGATGATGCTGCTGCTCATGATGCTGATGATGATGATGATGATGAGGAGGAGGAGGAGGAGGAGGAGGAGGAGGAGGAGGAGGAGGAGGATGTGGGAGACCTGGATGCATCCACCAGGGGGAGGAGGAGGCGGAGGAGGCGGAGGAGGCGGAGGAGGAGGAGGAGGAGGAGGAGGTGGGGGACCAGAGTGTATCCAGGATGCGTCCACCAAGCTGCAGCGCACTCTCCTGTCCCAAGTCCGCTGCGGGAGCCGCCCGCCCCCTCCCCCCCCATCATGGCGATCGTCCAGTGGGTCTGCCACGCACGCGCGGCCTTGTTTTGTAAAAAAGATCCGCACCCTTTCTTCCAGCTAAAGAACAGCGAGGATGTACACCGATGAAGTTCAAGGATGTGTCTCGCGATGGCCTTGTGTTGAGAGAGGTCTGCCCTTGACGGCTGGCGCCTTGCCCAGACGCCGTTGCTGATTTTGTTGGCGGAGTTAAGCTTTCACGCTGTAGTTCGAAGAGCAACGTTGTTAATGTTGCCAGAACCTGCCCCTTTCGTACCACATGAGTCCGTAATGGTAGCCCTGCTTGGAATATCCAGGCACCCGCCTCACGACTCCCGCTCGGCATGTAACTGGCGGGACATTTCCAGGCGGCACTACGGCAAACACCAGCCTCCGCTCTGACCCGTACCGAGCACGGGTCAGACCGGAGGCGGCCGGGGCCGCAGCACGAGTCTAGTAAGAGTCTAGGCCCGACTGCCACGAGCGCTCGAGAAGCTTGTGGTCACCAGGCTCATGTCCAAGCCTGGCCAATTCACTGGAGAAGCAGATCTGTTGCCAGATTTGAGCTTCGTTTTCAAGATTTGCATGGGGGCCATCAGCAGACAGTTAGTACAAGAACTTACTCCATGCAGCTCCAGCCCGCAGCGCAGCGCTGGAGCGCGACCCACGACAGAGAAACGATCACTTCTACTAGGCCCAGGCGCTCCTGGCCGCGGAGGAAGAGCAGGTCAATCTCACTACGTGTCCAGAGGGACACGCTCTGGAAGTCTGGCGTCATCTGCACAGGCTCTATGACCCAGTATGAGGCCACATGCGAACCCTGCCCCACCACCCCACGAAATCTAAGGGGTGAGGTGGGGTACACCTTGTTCAGGACCTCCCGAGCGAAGTGAACCCCACCTCACCCCTCAGAAGTTGTGGGGTGGGTAGGTTTCGCATGTGGCCTCCTACTCGGGCAACGCAAAATGTTTTGAGTGCTATTGACAAGCGTCTTGCAGTGCAGGTTCATGGAACTGCTGATGCAGGCGCTCGAGATCGCAGAGTGTGATGGTCGGTTCGGTCAGAGCATCAGTCACATCCTCTAGCGCAGCGTCTTGGTGAACGGGAAAGACGTAGACTAGGCCAGAGAGAGAAGGGGAGAGCGCCTGCAGTTGAGATTCTTTGCGCCTCCCTCCCTGCCCCTCGCTCCCGAGTGGTCGTTGCACGGGCCCCCTGCACGGCGCCGTGCACCTGCACACCCGTGCGCCGCGCCGCCTCGCCGGCGCGCGCCGCGCGCGCCGCCGGCAGCCGCGGACCATGCGTGGCGCATGCATCCAGAACGTGGGGAGAACAAGGGCGCCCTCGAGTGAGCGAAGTTATTCGCGCTTCGCGCTTCGCGGCTCGGCTCCGAGGCCTTGTCCTCCTCTTCTCCCCTGGGGGGCGGCGCGAGCGCGCGAAGTTATTCGCGCTTCGCGCTTCGCGCGGCGCGCAGCGCGAAGCGCGAGTTAAGCGCCCTTGGAGAAGGAGCCACGTGGCGGGGGTACAAAGCTGTATGCTGCCCCGCGCCTGCAGTTTTCCCCCGAAGCGGCAGGGTCGTTTTTCTTGTCCTTTAGCCGGCTCCAAACAAAAGACTGCCCTTGGAGCGTGGGAACAAAAGACTGCCCCTTGAGAGCGCGGCTCCCGGACTGAGGCTGGAACCGTCAGCGAATAAAGATCAGCGACGGAGCTGGGAAAGAATCGGCACCAGAATCGGCAGACCAAGTTACCTTGTCGTTTCCAGGGCCCGCGAGGGTAGAAACCACCGAGCGCGCTCCACTACTCGCAAAGTGGCTGCTCGCAAACGGCCGAAAACACGTGTTCACCCGGATGTCATGGGTCGTAGCTCCTCCTCGGCGGAACCAGGCCGTTGGCGAGCAGCCACTTTGCGAGTGGTGGAACGCGCTCGTCTAAGACAGGCGGGCGAGGTCCGTGGGCGCCGGCGTTTGGACGCTGCGCGCTTTGGCTGCCGCTCCGCTCGCCCCGCGCGCCGTCCCCGCAGGGCGTCGGCGGATTCGCGCCCGAGGTGCCGCCGGGCGCGGTGCTGGCGGGGCAGAAAGGACGGCGCCCGCCCGCGGCGGAGGGGGGT